CCCCCAACAATGGACAAATGGCAGTAAGCTCAATACATCTCCTGATCCAGTTAATGGTCACACAAACTTCCTATGATCATTCTACCGCATTTGTCTACTATGCAAACATCTGCAGATTCAATTGAGCAGCCAAAATGAATATTCAATGAAACTCAAGTGGGGTGTGTGATAGACTTACCTCCACGTGGTGCTCCCTGGGCAAAATGTACTCATACGGCAAAAAAGTCTATTACCTGGCAGTTGACTTCAAACTACCATGACCCCACTGTACGCCATATTCGACTACTTCACAGTACTCATCCCATCTTTTTTCCACCTTATCTACCTTCGTCTTTGATACACTCTTCTGTCCCCCCCCCCCTCTTGAATTTTTTACACTTTGATGTTCCTTCCCCTCTGTGAAGACTGAAGTCAACTAAAGAGCTAATGATAACAATCAAAACGCTTGCCATTTGATATAATAATAATGAAACTCAAGTTTCAACTGACTACTGACATGCCTGTTCTCCCACCCCCACCCTCCAGACACTTGTATCCAACTACATTATGTACCGTTTTCCCCATTCAACTTCAATTCACCTTAAGCTATTAGCTATATTTTTAGAGAAGCCTAGTTGAAGGACAAGTTTTGGAAACGCATACGAAGTATTAAAATGGGCTCCAAACAGACCAAATTACATCAGAATTTCAATTTAAAAAGGAAGGACTAATTACTATCTGGCAGGTAGCTGATAAAAATATTTTAACGATTTACATGATAGATAAAATTATTTTCCCATATTGAGATGGGCGAAAGAGAACGAAACCACAAAGTCAGTTAGGCGCGAAACAAACTTTAATTGCATTACCTTCCCAAGGGAAACATTTAATTAATTTATTTATATCAAATGACAGGCGTCTTGATGGTTATCATTAGCCCTTTAGCTGACTTCAGGCTTCACAGAGGGGAAGGAGCATCAAAGTGAAAACAAGTCGAGAGGGGAGGAACAGAAGAGCGTTTCAAAGTGAAAAAGTAGAGACGAAGGTAGAAAAAAAGGTGAGATGAGTACTGTAGAGGGGTCGAATATGACATACAGTGGGGGTGATGGTAGTTTGAAGTCAGAGGTCAACTGCCGTATGACTATGTTTGCCCAGGGTGCACCACATGGAGGTAAGTTTATCCCACACCCCCGGGGAAATATTTACTAAAACATACTAAAACAACATTTCATCGCTAACGCTACCTTACCGAACCATCCATTATTTTCGCTGATTTTGATCAATCTGTAAATTATAAGCCCCAAGTGCTATAAAGCAGCTTTAAAACCTTGCTGAACCAACCGAACTCTGCTCAAGTCATCTTTCGTGCACACTTTGTTGACTTTATACCTTTTCATGCTCATTTCACTTATCTACATGATGTGGCTTGATAAAAGTCTAATCAGACCAACTTCATGCCAAGTTTGCTCCCTTAAAGTTCATTATCCAATAAATGGTGGACATATAGTGAGGTTTGTCCGAAAACATCTATTTGGAATATCTCGTCTCTGACGTCTCTTCCGCACTCTACACGATAACTCACGCCAGAGCTACTTTGTACTGAAGGTGGAAAATACTAGAAGTGGGACAGAGCTAGAATACGAAAACGTCCACTAAAACTGATCAACGCAGTAAAGGAAAGCTATTTATCATTGATATCATTTATAATAGTGAGAGAGAAAAAGGAACTGATGAATGTGGGCGAATGGTGAGGGGGAGGAGAGAGGAAGATCAATTTATTCTAGATGTCGAATAAAAGAGTGATCAAGATTTAAGATATGGGAGGGAGATCAGGAAGGACAAATAAGAGTCACGATGGAGGGGGAAGCTCAATCAGACGGACAGGAACGATTGGAAGAACAAAAGGAACAGCATCAATGTAAGTTAACCGTTTATGTAATGTACAATGGGTTATCGTTAGTAAAAGAGGTGGGGCAAAGGAAAATGTAATAAGAGAGAGGAGGGGGAAGAAAGCAGGGACATACACACGAGTAAAGAAAAAATGATGGAAAATGAGAGGAACAAAAGAGAACCGGTTAATGCCTGATAATGAGACCGTCTAAGTGCAGCACTTATGTCCTGATGTTCCCATCTGTTCAGGGGTGTTACCCAAACGTGTTCCTCCACTTTGCTGGATTGACTCATTCAATGGCATATTTTCAGCTAAAAATTAAAGGGAAATTAATACTACTTATTCCACTTAAGTAGAGGTCTAACTTTAAAGTTTAATACATACTAAACAAGCTATTTAAAATGACAAACAATTTCACTCACCAATCATTTTGAAAAGTTCCATAACGTTGGTTGCCAATTTCGCAGAAGTTTCCTTGAATAATAAGCCATTCTCTTGTGCATATTTTTCAGCGTCCTATTAGGGAATAAACAAAAATCGGTTATATTTGCTTTCGTGACGTGTTTGACGTACTGCATTTAAAGGCTCATCTGACTCCACAGCCCTATACAGCTGCTTAATTTCAGGCTATCAGCAAATAGTCCCCAAAGCCACGCAAATTTTAGAAACCAGTGGCAAGTGCTAACCGAGTGTTGTTGAAAACGCTCCCAAATTTTACTCACCTTAATGGCTCATAACTTAAACAATAATTCATAGTATAGCAATGAAGCTTAAGTTTAAGGAATGACACGTGAAGTTAGCAAAGATAGCACAATAAAATAAATGAATGAATTCGTTGTCAAACTTGACCACAATCTAAGAATACAACAGAATGAACTATAAATTTAAACGGCGGTGAACTTTATTGTAGACAATAGAATAAAATTTAGAGTTCATTTCTTCAACTATGGCAGAATTAGCATAAAATTACCAGCACTGAGAGAAATAAACGCTGGAAACATTTAGTACAGCTTGCATTCGTATAAATAGTGCAATCACATCGACCTAAACCGAACTCGTTTGCACGCTCCAAACTCAGGCAGATAGGGGTGCCTTTAATTATGTTTGTTTGTGTAGAAACATACGGGGAATCGAGACCACTCAGTACACGTCAACTCATCAGCACTTCACTACAACTACAAATATGAATACTTTCTCCAAATAAATATCAATTCCGAGGTGAAACAAATTTTTAATCTAACAGAAATCGCGAAAATAAGGGACCTAGCACGGCGACAAACACAACGCAATATGGCATAGACGAACAGTGTCAATTCCACAGATAGTCTGCATATTCTCTACGTTTTCTTCATTTGATATAGTCGACAAAACAAAACCGCTTTCTCAATGGTTTGGCCTTCAATACGATGAAAGGGTCCTCCAAAACCAGCTTTTGTATAGAAGGATCGAAGTATCAGAGAAGTGTTTACGCTCATCTCTGTGACTAAGTTATAAATTACCAAGGAGAGGGAAAATGGAGTTCTTAACGGTCTAGTGATGCTAAATGAAACAAAATCGAAACTCGTGGAACAATAAAAACTTAGAAAACCCAAATTAGTCACAACGACCCGAAGTAAATAACAGCACGGAATATAGAAAATTTACTCAATTCACACATAAACCTGCAAAGCAACAACCATGACATTTAGCACATTCACATTATATATAGTACTTTTTGAGTTATCAACAATAAGTTTCTGGCTTATTTTGAGGTTGAGAGTACTTGCACGTATCACATAAATAGGTATCGTCATTCAATGTTTTAGCACATAAATTATTTCCGACTAGCGCTTAAAATTAGGTTTATTACACTGCATTAAGAGGTATTTAATTTCAACTTGAGTTTCCACCTTGTGATCAACACCTGCTAAATTTTCATATCTTCACTGTTAAGTAATTGTTATCTATTTTGCTTATCTAATAATACTTTGGTAAAACTGACAATCGAATGATAATACATAAACAAAGAACTTATTCGAAACAGAGCAGAAACGGCACCTTACCCTATATAAGGAACTCTGTTAGGAATTTAAATTTACTATTTTCGGTAGAAACGAAAGAACCACACATTTAGGGGATTACCGATTTGATTGGATTTCCACGATTTCGCCCGAATATATAAGCCCACCCATGACATTACCGGGACTTCAATTATTCATCCATCACTAACCTAATTTGGCATAACTACAATTGCCTTCTTTATACAAAATTGAACTTTGAACTGGAGATTTCTTCCCTGAGGCCCGAGTAGTTTAATATTTAAAGGAAATCGTTATTCACTGTTATATAAGTTGATCGGTTGATAACTCTATGGAGCTATAAATATTCCGACTCAAGAAATAAAAAAAGTAAAGACTTGTTTTCAAAATAACAGCTCGCTATTGAGAAAATAAAAGCGCTTATATTAAATTTAATATGAATTACGGATTGGCTGACTGGTTGCAGGAGCTATTACTTATCATACTCCGAATTTCGAAAGCAGGATCAAAACTAGTAACCTAACAGGAGAGATAAATGGACCATTCAATTCAACAAAATGTCTATCCATTCGATAGAAAACGATAAACTCACCCAATTACGAAATGGAGTAGGGACAACGGAGTCATCGATGAACACAATTTAAATTACAAAGACATCCAGAATAGAAGCACTTAAGGTTATCTAAGTTACAGTGTTTGATTACATTAATTCCGATTGAAATAGAGGTCAACACGAACTCCGACAGTCAGGTATTGGATAAATAAACCCGGCTATCTGGTTGCTAAAAGTAGCTGAAACGTTAGCAAAACACAAACCCAATTCGACTAAGTGACTTAAGAGATTGAAGTGTAATTATGAAAAAAAGGACATTAAAGGTGCAATTAACAATAAAAAATAAATGACGACTCACATGTTCGGAAACGGCGCGGTCCGCACTACAGTCCGATTTGTTTCCAGCCAGAGCGATAACCCTGATGGCAGGTGCATTTTCGCGGAGTTCATTTATCCATTTGGTGGCCCGATCAAAAGTTTCTCGTTTAGTAATATCATACACTACAATGGCAGCATGGGATCCACGATAGTACATGGGGGCAAGACTGTGGTAACGTTCTTGACCTGGAAAAAAGAAGTACCACAAGGAATAATTACCTTGACATCAACTATACAACACTTAATTTCTATTGCAATTAGCTAAATAAATTTGTGTTTTAAAAACGCTGTGAGATGCATTGGACTGCACGCCATTGACAAATGAGTACCCGCCATCGGCGGAAACAGTCACGTCACATCGTAGTGAGGTCGACTGCATCTTCTAACAAATCAAAATCTGCTACATCGGACGAGAGTCAACTAATAGCAATGACAGCCTCGATATACATTTTCGGGGCTAGATCAGCTAATGCAAGCAACAGCAACATAACCTTTAAGTTACACAGAAATAATTAAACTCATCCAATTTGAACAAAGACACATTCTCCCTTAAAGGGTGTTTATGTGACTACGTAAATTGGCCCTTTCACCCTCACCCATTTACCTGACACAATGGAAATCCGATTCCTCATTTATTTGCATTCTCATCAAATCCACGATCATCCAATGTGCTTCTTCGAATTTTATCTCTCAAAAGCTTCCGAATTGGGTTTCATTGTTATATTTTTTAATTTATTCATTACTTGCAATGGGGGGAAGGTTATGAGTCAAACACTATTTGAGGTTGAAGTAAACGTGTGAGGTAAATAAACAAAGATTCATCACAAAAAGAAAGATGAGAAGTGAAGAGGACTGAAGACATAAACGTGAACGAATCCACTGCACGTTTAATGTGCTGCATGAGTTTTAGACCATGGTGAAGAAAAAAAGGCCTAGGATGTGAATTTGTACTAGTCAAAGAGGATGATTCATTAACTAATTATTGATGCCAGTGAGAGGGAGGTAGACTGTTTGACCCTGTTAATATCACTGGGTGTGCTTAGCAAGTTAAAAGGTCTACCTACATAGACGTGTTTATGGTATTAAATTCGTAAAAAAAAGCGGCAACGACAAGTTAACACGTGGCAAGGTACGACCAAATTTGCCTTCTATCAATCAATAAATATCCTCTTCGTATCCAAAATGAGTGTTAAATGGTGACCCTAATGGGCATATATATAAACATCCCGGAGAAACAATGGTAACAAGCAAACCAAACTCCGAAATATCGCAATAGCATAAAAACAAACAACTTTAAAAACGTATTTTTAAGAAATTCCGGCCATAAAAATCTGCCGACCTAGGACTTTCTTGTCAAATTTGTAGCTTAAAATAAGACTAAGGTATGATAATTAAAAACCTGATAACTAAACGACCGGACCAAGTACTAGACTTTCTACTCACAAATTTAGCCCACATGAATGTTATGATCTGGACTGAATAGTAAAAAGTGCATAGAAACCACGATCAGGCATGCATGCATATGATTAAGCACAAAAGTGTGTGAACAGCGAAATAAAGCGCTTTAAACAAACTCATCGAAAAATAAAAAAAGCTACCAGGAGAATACCTACTTTCCACGCACCACTAGCGCAAAAATAAGTATCAAGTGGCGAGCCAGTCAAACGCGCAAATGGAGAACCGCGCGGGCAGGTGATAGTCATGGCTGAAACTTAGACACTAATGCCAAAATGAATTGAAATACTCGCAAGGGCATACGCGCCAGAAACATAAACATTTCGATGTGAACTTGTCTAAAACGAAGTGTGGCTGCTTATATGAGCAAAGAAAACAAAAAATCTTAAAATAGGAGATCAGAAAAGTTGAAATAAGACGAACATGAACAGGCATTAAAAAAATTAAAAAAAGGGATTAAACTGATTGGGAGAAACAAGAAAAAAAACTAGTTTTCGAAGGATCAAACACATCGAAATGAATAAAGAAGACGTGAAACATACCCGCAGTATCCCAAATTTCAAATTTGACTGTCACTTGGGGGTCGCCAACGACAATAGACTGAGTAAGATAGGCAGCACCAATGGTTGCCTCTTGATATTCTTGGAACTGAGATTTGACGAAACGAAGGGCTATGCTGGATTTGCCGACGGCAGATTCACCGAGTAGCACAAGTTTGTAACTGGTACTTCTGCTTGCCATACTCGAGAAAAGCTAATCAAAACGAATATGGCAAAAGGAACAAGTAATAAAAACAAACTGCAAACATCATAATAGTAAGAAATAGAACCAAATAATTTGTTCGTAAAAGGATTCCAAAAAATAAAGTAGCCACCTATAGGGCTAAAATTGGTAACATATTTAAAAAATAACATTAGAAGAGCAATTAAGGCATATATAATTTAACAAAAAGTAAGCTTTATGCACAAACTGATGTGCAATTAATTTAAAGAAAATGGAAGGACGAAATTCTAAAACTTAAAATCCAAGAACTCACGAGATCTATTGGTCGATAAGCGTCAAAATTGAAGCAATAAAACCTGGCGTTCCTAAATCACCAATTTGAATTACGAAGAAAAATGGACCCATTAAAACAAACGTAAAGGCAAATGTCCATATTCCAGGTATTTGTAGAATATTATAGTAAAATCATGCACTAATAAAATATATAATTTATTCTGCATGTCAAATAAATATAATTAAGCTTTAACTTTACATATGTTTTTTTAAATTTAAATACTGGAAGATGTATTTATCGTAATCATCAAATGTATCCTTTCAAAAAAAAAACCAACTACGTTTGATAAAATTAGCATTTCCGATTATGATATTTACATGTCGCTAAGGAATTCTTATAATTACAACTAATTTCCTTATAGTGATTTGAGGAAAAATTACTGTGAAACAATTCTTTTGGTTTAAATAGAAAAATCTTCATTCATTGTATAAGTTTAGTAGACTTTGCTATTCGAAATTTCGTCCTATGTTCTTGATTCCACTTCGACCGTTTTTGTCAAAATGTATGCGCTAAAGGTGAGAAGTATAAAGATCGGTACGTTGTTTGCGACTAGTCACATAAATTTTGAGTTATAAAGATTTTTAAACTTGAGTGACTCATGAAGAATGCCAAATAAGAGAAAAATAACCACGCATATCTTACAAGATATCAGACACATTAAATACATACTTTTAGAAATCTTGCATTACGACAATACAAAAAAGTTACCGTATGCTTATGGTAATTTATACCTGGAAAAAATATAAACATTTTTATGCTCCATAGATAACTACCCACATTAAAGTAAAAGATAGTTACGATTGGTGCTAAATTAATTTTGTCAAAGTTCTGATACACAATGTCCACAAATATATTTATAAAATAAATATTTATAGCTTTTAAAACGGTAATATACAAAATGTTTATATTTAAGCTGTACTAACTAAACCCACTTTTGTTGGAAATTAGAACCGCATTTTGCGGAGTACCCGATAGACAAAAATCCCGCGACTCTTAAGCTTGTACTGAAGGTCATAGTCTCCGTGATATTTGCTACTCTAAATAGTCCTTCATTAAATCAACTCGCTTCAACATGAACACAAGACATCTGGATTCACCGTTTAAAGAACACCCAGATCTTCTCAATATTGACACGGAGTACGCAGTAAATCTAAAAATATTGTTAGAAGGCGGTCCTTTCAATAGCTTCGTGCAATCAAAAACACTAATAACTAATAATGGCAGAAGAATAGACTGCTCAAGTGATATTGACAGTATTTCCTCCTCGTCTCCTACAAGTTCGCCTAAAGATAATATTTCCATTTCTCATTTTGAGTGTATTCCAGTTGAGAAAGCAGCACCCGTAAATGATCTCAAGGTCATTCCTGAGGAAATCTCTATCTCAGATTCGACTTCCGACCATCACAGCGTCATTGCTTTTGAACAAGATTCAGTTCGAGCCTATCACTCAAATTTCTTCCCTTTGAAGAAGGATCTGCACGATACCATTGATGTCAGTAAAACAATTCCAGCTTCTAATCAAGTTTCTCGATCTGTATCCCTCGGAAAACGCAATCTTTCCGCTCGAATTCAGTCTCTCCTTGAAAATTTTGAATCAAATGGCCAGCATCACAACGATTCTTCTGTTTGTACCTCACCAGAATCAAGACGGTCTAGCGAGAAGCTTTTGAACAAATCTGGTTCACCTGATAATTTATTTTCCGACCCAAAGGTATTGAAAGTGCAACCTGCTCAGTTTTGACATATTATGGTTTTTTAATCATTTTCTTCGATTTAGGCCTCTGCTGAATCGTGTTTAGTATGCAACAAAGTTGTCTATCCCCTTGATCGATTTTCTACCGGAACTCATGTCTATCACAAATTTTGTTTGAGGTGCAATGTATGCGATCGGACCCTATCGTAAGTGCCTTGACATCTTGTATCATTAAACCCAAGATTCTATAAGTTATTTGTATTCGTAAACAGTTTACAGTCATGTTTTTATTTACAGTATCCTGTAATTCTAGCATATTGTGTGAATAATGTCATTTTATTTGCCAACTTCTCACGCTACCCGGCTATAATTAATAATCAATTTTGCGATTAGCCCTTTTAAAAGTACTCCTTTTCTTCGTTATTAACTTTTTTTAAAAAATGACAAAAATGTTAGCAAGTTTGCGTTTTGTCAACTTGCAATGGGGGAATAGTACTTTTGTTCCATTCGTTTAGCTACCTTTTCCGTTTTTTTCTATTTTATACCACAATTTTTCAAGATTGTTAATTACCTGTATTTGCTAAAATTAACCAGTGTTAGTGGCAAGTTGTTGATTCAAATAGGTTACTGCCAGACTCCATTGTTCTTTTCTTTTTACTATTTTCTACTTATTTCAGCCCCGCGAATTGTGAATATGCTAAAGATGAACTCTTCTGCCGATCACACTTCCTTGATAAAGCTCACGGACTTCGTAAGTTCCGCAGCATGTTCCACATTCTAACCTCCTCTAGACAATTTTAATTGGATATCATGGTGACGGTAAAAACCGTAATCTGATCTCATCTCATTTTCTTTGCTGAACAGGGAACCAGATATCACCTACTTTATGTATTGCTTTATACTTTTTTAACAATGGTCTTACCCTCTTTTAATCAGTGCAATTTTTTCTTATGATTGATATGCTTTCGGGTCAATTTAATCTGAACGAAGGTTTCAGACGTATCCAATTTACTGAGTAGGTGAGATTACACTATTCCTTTAAGAGAATTTCACTCATAGCCGAGTGGTCAATATGTTCGCACCCCAGTTTTGAAAGTGATCGGTGGCGATAGCCATAGTTTATGGTCTTCGATAGCGGGTTTTTTGTTGTTTTGTGCTTTCTAAGGTACGTATTTCATAAACCAATTCCAACTAGTATTTTTTAAACATTAGGCGCCTTTTTATGTAGTATTGACCAAGATTCGGAGATAGATCAAATCAGACCAATATGAGTTAAACACTTTTAGATGAGAATGAATGGTACTCGTAAGTCCATTCTTCACAGAAGCCTAAGCCCTCCATAATTTTATTTTATTTTGACTGCCTCATTGGGCTTTTTCGAGGAACAATTAATTCTATTCTTCAAGTGTTAGTTCATTCTTGCCAACTTTTCTATTCATACCTCATAACCACATTGAGCATCTGAGGTCAATTGTGGGGAGTAGTAATAGTAGTAGTGTGAGAAAGCCTACCGCATAGACTTTCCAGTTAGCAATGCAAACTCTTGTTTTACCAACTAGTTACAGTGCTACCAGTTGGTGAATGTCAGGTCTAACTGAGTTCGAAAATGAAAATTTTCTTTTTTTTATTTCTCCAACAGGCCTAAATGGCCCTAAGAGTAGATACAAATGCGAACTTTGTACTCTGAATTTTGCGCGCCTGTTGTTTTGAGGCATGCAGATATATTTTATTGCAGTTTATTCGCATTTAGGCAAAAGAGTAGGAATAAAAGCGCCTTTGTCAATTAGCGAATAGGAGAGTTAAATGAAGTTATTGTGTCTCTTCTCTACCCAGGCTTCACAATGCCATTAATTTGACTACCGCTAATTAACCGCAGGAATGATAGGCACAACGCCAGTCTCATTCCTTATTTCCTCTTCTGTCTTGTAGTTCGGAAATTGTCAAATCCTATTCCCGATCAGCAAAGCGCACAGCCACCGCAAATTATTACAGTGGAATGTAAGCTTCATCGCGATTATCTAATCTAATTACATACATGTTAGTTATCATATCCTAACAGCACTCGCCAAATATTTTTATTGCTTGAATTTTATTTGACTAATCACTACACTAACCCCCCTCATATTGAGAGCCTTATTAAATGAGGTATTGCATTACCTCTTTATATGCTTCTTTGTGCGTGGGGTTCTAACGTAGATACTTCAATTTGAGTTTTTTTCTTTAATTTCAGAAGATTTCTAATAAGGGGAAGTCGTTACGTCCAAGTATAGTATTTTCTATGATCTAGAGATCTTGCGTAGTGATATTGATTCGATGACCTCTTGTCTTCTACTATTGCCTTCAATTATCTCTGCTCTAATTTACAATTTCCTTAATTCATTGGTATTTTTTTCTTGTATCTATGAGGAACTTCAAATTGGACCATTCATTGTTTGTTATTTTTAATTTGTATCACCAGGTAAAATTGGAATTGATTTTTAGTTGAATAAATTTATTTATGTTTACGGATTGACGGGGTCGCATAAATATCCTTTTAATCATGGGATTTTGTGGTATTATTATTACTATTATTATTATTCCAGCAATATGGAAAACGGTTATTTAATAATAATTAGGTTCTATTTGAAACCACGAAAGGGTTGAAATGAAATAATTGTACGTACAATTCACCTTTTTAAGACCCATTTTCATTACTTGCTTCTTTTGTTTCGTAGTGAGCTCATATCCGTGACACTCGAAGGCCGTTGGCCAGATGATTAGGAAAGGTATTTTTTAGGGGGACTCTAATGATGATAGTGTTCCACGTAATTAACATTATCTGATAATTCAGAGGTCATCGGTGCAATACCCTCGGCCCACATTCATAGTGATGCAATCTTTCGGACTAATTAAAACTGTTTAAAAGGGTTAGCAAGATGTTAGTTTCTCCTTGGTATTTCTCCAGAACATCACTGTACTATTCAATGTGCTTATGAAAAAATCATTCGATGGGCTTGATATTCATCGTTTGTAATTTATATGCATTCTACTGATTGAGCAATCAAATGTGCGTTAAATAGTCATCATCACGAAAAGAAACATAAAACTACTGTGGTGGTGAATTCAACTTTCAAGTCCATTTTAGCGAGTCTTTTCCCAATACTTGTCATGTAGCCTTCCTGGTGAAAGACCTTACGTCTGTGATCATCCCGTGATGACCAATCTTAGGCAGTGTTGTTGCAATGAAAATTCATCAGGATCGATACTGGGATCCAAGAATACCATGAGTTTAAGGAATCGATTCATTGGGCTGTTAGGATGCAATGTGAAATAGTTCGTCACATGAGATAGATGTGATTTTTCTGCTCTGTGCGTACAATTTCCATCGGAAAAAAAAGAGAATTAACGTTCATGCCTAAGTTGCATCCTGCTTGGTGACTTAATTTACAGTTACGTCGTTTTATTCCAGTATCACCTACCACACACTTCGATTTCATGGCAAAATTGCATTGTGCTGACTGGGGTTTACTAATCTTCCAGTCGACGTATTTACACTTCTTTTCGTGGTAAAATGACGTTTATCCATACCGTTAGTTCATCCTCTCTTTTTTCTATTTTTCTCTACTTTGTTGAGGGCCCCAAATTTCTCAGACCTTTCTCATATCGCGTGGTAGTAGAGTGTATGTATTGTACAAGAGAATACTTAATAGAGTCACATGGAATTTGTGAGAATCTCTGTGTTGAAAATCTTCCATAAAGAGGATAAATTAGCTGTTGTGTTGAAATTAAAATACGCAACTTTCCATTACAAGTAGGCGTGCGAGTCAATGAAGACGTTTTTTTCTTGGGCTCTTAAGGCATTTCGAACTCGATGTCTGCCATTGTCTTCGTGAGGAGCTACTGCATTAGAATATCCAAATGGCTTCGGTGGAAACTAATGCGAATTAAGAGTTTGATGTGAACTTGCAGATAGGCGGGGGTGCTGTAGGCACTGGAGGTAGTCTAGTTGTCGGAAATGGAAACTGGATGAGCGAGGTGGTTGAATAATTTATTTGGAGGAGTTCAAATGTCGAAAATCAAGGGTTACTGTACGTTGAAAAATGCGGAATAGCAGTTGAGTTTTATCGCTTTCATTTGGTCAAATACCGTTAAAATGGAAAGAAAGTTGAGAAGATTTACATTAGGCATTTAAATGCAAATTATTCGCGATTGAGTATTGGAAAGAGTACTTTAGCTGACCTTCATTCCAATCTCCCAGGTAGTTTGGCGGGCATTGTAGTGCATACAAGGTGACAAAGTATTGATTATTAATGGCAGTTTAGGTTATTGGCAGGGTGTCTAGAACATACGAAAAACGTAATTAAACTAAATGTATTTCTACATTGAAATTAGTGCCTTTGCCATATAATATGTGTTCATTTTAAGAGCTTATACGTAATAACCATAAGTGTAGGCGTATTGAGTTGCCAGGTAAGATTTTAAAGTTGGGAGTTTTTTATCCAAAAATAACACCACAAAAAAAGAATATTTGGATGTGGCAATTGATATCAATAAGAATATTAACATTAGCAATAACGTAAGTAGTGATATAGAAAACTGCTGAAATGGATAATACTGTGTTGAACCACATGGTAAGTTGCAATAATTGCCGGAAAGGCAATCAATCATATGCCCTATCTCATAATCATTTTCTATTTAGA